GTTGAATGTTTGTCTGTGATTTGTGCATATCGAGATCCTCGTGGGTTCCAACAGCCCGGACACTTCTTCAGTCACTGCCCTGAACCCCCAAGGCAGCAGCCTTACCAGCAGCCCCATCAGCAGCAGCAGCTTCCTCCTCCACCTTACCACCACCAGCAGCAACACAGGCAGCCCCCACCACACCAGCAGAGGGCTCGGGGTCAGGCTCGTGTCTATACCATTGTTCACGACGAGGCGGCCAACAACGCAGGTACCACGTCTGACATAATTTCCTTATCCAATGTAACTATCTTTGCGTTATGTGACACTGGAGCTACTCATTCCTTTATATTTTCTCAATGCTTGGAGGCCCTGTCTATTGATAATGTGTGCAACTGTGATCCTCTTAAGGTTAGCCTGGCCTCGGGAAAAATTATTATTTCTGACTCTATGGTTCATGGTCTTCAAATCAGTATTGGTGGGTATGTTATGAAAGCCGACACCTATTTTATTGAAATGCGGGACTTCGAGTAATCTTGAGCATGGACTGGCTCACTCGCTATCGAGCCGACATCCGGTGCTAGGAGCATGAAGTCACACTCTTTCCCGATTCCGATCAGCCTGTTGTTTTCTATGGGGTGAAGTCGAGGATTGTGCCTCGAGTCATCTCTTCTTTGCAAGCTAGGAAGAGCCTTTACAAGAGTAGCTGTCAAGGCTATCTCGTATCTATGGTATTCGAGGATGATTCCGAGCAAACTCCGGAGAGAATTTCCATTGTTTGTGAATACTTCGACGTTTTTCCTGATGAATTGCCCGGAGGACAGCCCGACCGTCAGGTTGAGTTCACTATTGACTTGGTGCCAGGAGCTGTTCCCGTCTCTAAAGCCCTTTGCCGTATGGTGCCGAAGGAGCTTCAAGAGCTCAAGGCCCAGATCCAGGAGTTGCTCAAGCTCGGTTTTATTCGGCCGAGTATTTCGTCGTGGGGAGCGCCCATCCTATTCGTGAAGAAGAAAGACGGATCGATGTGCATGTGCATTGACTATCGGGAGTTGAATACCCTTACGGTCAAGAACAAGTACCCCCTTCCTCGCATTGAGGATCTCTTCGACTAGCTGAGGGGAGCTAGCGTCTTTTCAAAGATCGACTTGAGGTCTGGTTACCATCAGCTGAAGATCCGGGAGTCGGATATTTCTAAGACTGCTTTCCGTACCCGTTATGGCCACTATGAGTTCGTAGTCATGCCGTTCGTACTCAGCAATGCCCCGACCGTGTTTATGGACCTTATGAATAGGGTCTTTCATCCCTTCTTGGACCAGTCTGCCATTGTGTTTATCGACGACATCCTGGTTTACTCTCGAGATATCGACCAGCACAAGGAGCATCTGAGGATTGTGCTGGAGACTCTTCGCCGTGAGAAGCTGTATGCGAAATTCTCGAAGTGCGAGTTTTGGCTGGATCGTGTGGCATTCTATGGCCACATTGTTACAGCGAGAGGCATTGAGGTGGACCCCGGTAAAATCGAGACGGTGAGCAAGTGGGACACACCAAGCAGTGTCGCTGATGTTCGTGGTTTCTTAGGGTTAGCAGGATACTACAGGAGGTTTATCGAGGGCTTCTCGAAGATAGCCCAGCTACTAACCAACCTTACGAAGAAGGCCATGAGGTTCGATTGGAGTACGAAGTGTGAGGAGAGTTTCAAGGAGTTAAAGAGGAGGCTTACTACTGCGCCCGTCCTATCCATTCTCGACCCTACATTGGAGTTCACTATCTATAGTGATGCTTCGAAGATGGGATTGGGTTGTGTTCTCATGCAGCAGGGGAGAGTCGTAGCCTATGCTTCGAGGAAGTTGAAGCCTCACGATCAGAACTACCCCACTCATGATCTCGAGTTAGCTGTTGTCGTCCACGCCTTGAAGATTTGACGGCACTACCTCTATGGAGACAAGTGTGAGATTTTTACCGACCACAAGAGCCTAAAGTACATTGTCAGTCAGAAGGAGCTGAATATGCGGCAGCGTAGGTGGTTAGAATTTGTCAACAACTACGATTGCACGATTAGCTACCATCCTGGGAAAGCTAACGTGGTTGCCGATGCGTTGAGTCGGAAGAGTCACGACCAGCTGTCTTGCCTACTCACAGGGCAAGAGGTTCTAGTTCGGGAGTTCGAGCGACTACAACTATAGACGGTGGAGTCGACTTCGACAACCGGGGGTATGTTGACCGCCTTGGTTGTGGGACCGACTCTTCGAGAGAAGATAGTTGCCGAGCAGCCGAATGATCATTTTCTGTGTCGGATGAGGAAGTTGGTGATTAGTGGTCAGACTGGAGGCTTCGCAGTCGCATCTGATGGAGCATTAGTCTTTGAGGGTAGACTATGTGTTCCGAAGGTGTGGGAACTGCGAAAGGAGATTTGAAAGAGGCCCATAGTGCCCCGTACACCATCCATCCTGGTTGCTCGAAAATGAATCAGGACTTGAGGAAGTCGTTTTGGTGGCGAGGCATGAAGAGGCAAGTGGCGAGGTTCGTAAATGGGTGCCTGGTGTGTCAGCAAGTGAAGGCTGAGCATCAGAAACCGAGAGGGTTGTTGCAGCCACTGGAGGTTCCCATGTGGAATTGGGAGTGTATCACCATGGATGTCCTGGTGGGATTGACGAGGTCGAGGACCGGGCATGATTCTATATGGGTGATTGTGGATCGACTTATGAAGTCTGCCCACTTTCTTCCCGTTCGGACGACTATGAAGGCTAGTGAGTATGCCGAGTTGTTCGTGGCTGAGATTGTTAAGCTTCATGGGGTGCCCGTGGAGATCGTGTCTGATCGAGATGCGAAGTTCACCGGCCAGTTCTGGAGGACTCTGCACCAAGCCATGGGGACGAGGCTGGAGTTCAGTACAACTTTTCATCCTCAGACAGATGGTCAGTCGGAGCGGACGATCCAGTACTTAGAGGACATATTAAGGGTTGTGGTCTTGGATCGTAGCCTAACTTGAGAGAGTGCCCTGCCTTTGGTCGAGCTGACTTACAACAATAGCTATCACTCCTCGATCAAGATTGCCCCGTTCGAGGCTTTGTGTGGACGGAAAGTCCGAACACCCTTGTACTGGGATGAGGTCGGGGAAAGGAAGATTATGGGTCCGGAGTTCATTCATAGAGCTTCAGAGATAGTTGAGGCTATCTGAAAGCATATCCGGGCTGCCCAAGAGAGGCAGAAAGTCTAGACCAACCGAAAGAGGCAGAAGCACGAGTATGTGGTGGGAGATCATGTCTTCCTGAAGGTTTCGCCTATGAAGGGCGTGATTTGCTTCGGGAAGAAGGGAAAGCTTAGACCGCGTTATATTGGGCCATTCGAGATCCTTGCCCGAGTCGGGAACTTGGCTTATCGGCTGGCTTTACCACCTAGCTTGTCGGGAGTGCATGACGTGTTCCACGTCTCCATGTTGCGTAGATACGTGCATGATCCCGGTCACGTGGTGGACTTCAGCAAACTGCAGGTCGAGCGAGACCTTACCTATGAGGAGGTACCGGTAGCCATATTGGATCAGAAGGTCCATCAGTTGAGGAACCGGGCACTGAGCTTGGTGAAGGTGCTTTGGAGCCGACATGACGAGTCGGAGGCGACTTGGGAAAAGAAGGCCGAGCTTCGGAGGCGATATCCGAACTTTGAGTTCTGAGTTCCCTTTGTATTTTATCGCTTTCTAGATTTCTATTTTCTAATTCCGAGGACGAAATTCTTTGTAAGGTGGACAGACTGTAATACCCGTTCGTTTGTGGATTATTTTAGAATAATTATTGCTCTTATTAATTGCTTTTATTATTATTATTATTATTATTATTATTATTATTATTATTATTATTATTATTATTATTATTATTATTATTATTATTATATTATTATTATTATTATTATTATTTGCCTAAATGTCATTAAATACATAATTGCTTTTAAATGTTTAAATGTTATTGTCATTTATATTAAATGTCCGTTGAGAAGGACCAGCAATCTTCTCCCTGTTGTCCCTGAACGCTGTTCGAGCCTTCCGACGACCACGGTTGTGCGAGTATCATCTCGGCGGCATCCCAGCAGACCCTCGAGCGAGTCGAAACTTTGCCGTCGAGTCCCGCCGGTGCACGTGTAGAGCCGTTTCAGCCCCGTTTCGACCCTCCTTCGACCGTCTCGTGATATTTTTGTGAGAACGGTACACCGAGGCTCGAAACTCTATTAATATATTATGTGTATTTGTATGTTGTGAGTATTTCGTAACTTTAAATTACATGTTGAGTTGGTTATATGAAATTTCCGTGGCTGTATGAAAAGCTTTGGCTATATCATGCTAAAAGTCGAGTCCTTGCTCATTTGTGTGTATATGGATGAAAATATAGGTGTTTAAAATGCTTAAGTGTTATTATGAAGTTGGTATGTCACATGTGATGATATTCGTGAATTGTATAGCCTCTGTCGAGCCTCTGAAAGGGCATTAAAAACTAGTATTTTGGAAATAAGTTCTGCGTATGATTTCAAGTCCATTCTGTTGTGGTTCTGTGAGCTTTGGAATTATCAAATTCCGATTTGAAACGAATAAGTTATGATTTTTATTAAATTATCGCGCAATAAATTTTTTTTAGAAAACCGGCAGCAAATTATGTTAGATATTTAACCTTGTTGCTGTATCTTAATGTGCTCAAACTGAAAAGTATTTTTCATGCAAATTGTAGTATTTTGAGATAGGTTTATGTGGGTTTTGGAATTTCAAAAATTGGATTTGCTTTGAATTTATTAGGAATTTTTGAAGTTGTACATGCATGCTGTTTTTATAAAATCTGGGCAGATTTGTAGAATATGACGTCAGGCAGTTTTTGAGGATTTTAATGTGGCTATATGAAAATATGATCATCATGAGACTTGTAGAACATGTTATAAGATTTGATTAGGAGTTAAAATCATGTACATTAGAGTTTTGGTTGATTTTATATGATTTTTCAAAGTTGGGTTTATGCCTATAATTTTTAAAACAGTGGCTGTGTGTATGATCGAAATGTATACTCTGAAATGAGGCCCTTATTGTCATTATTTATAAAAATGCTCTCCCTGAAACTTGCAGCATTCCAAATCTAGTTTGTGAAGATTTTGAGTTTGAATGATTCGGAGTTTTATAACTTGAGATATTGCTGTTTTAGTGAGGTGCTGTTATTTGTCAAATAGTTGTGTTGGCAGATTACTTGACTTAAGTGTTTTACGCTTAAACTCGGCTGTAAAGCTATTTTTGGCTTATGTGATCAAAATGAAAGTTGTGGATATATGTGTTAGCTACTCATTAGTTTTTGAATCATCTGAATAGCATGCTCGTAGCTCATGTTACCTTGGAAATAATGAGACTATGCGAATTGTTCATTTTTATTTCTGAATTGTAACCATGTTTTGTGTTATTATTGATTTATCTATGTGACTGAGATATATTGCATGAGAGTAGTTGTATTGGTTCGTGTGTT